TGGAAACTGAAGAGTTCTGGAAGGAGTCCAGAGCATCAAGCAGTGGTCTTGACTTTCCCACTTACTGGTCATAATCTAGGAAGCAGCCATGTGCACCCTCTGTGCCCCACCTTTTAGGAGACTAGAGGGGGTCAGGGGGCAATGGATGTGAGAGCTCTCTATAAGCTGTGAAGGGGCGTATAAGTATCAGGCTTCCAAGTAAGAGTTTCCCAGGACCAGCAAACGCTCCCCCAGCTGCAGGCTCAGGAGCCCAGGCCAGACACAGGATGTTCCAGCACTTGTTTCCTCATAGGCAAGATACACACAGAGCTGGCTTCAAAATATGTACAGTTCCAAGCCATGGATGAATGCTGACAAGCTCAGTCTTTGAAGAAATGTGATAATCACAGATGTGACAGACCCTTTCAGTGTCATCCCACACAAAATAGCCTTGTGGAAATCAGCAGCAGAGCACAACCCAATCCTTTCCTGAGGCTTTCAAACAGATTATGTTTAAGAATAGGTGACCACGTGACTGTGGATTCACGGCTGCTCTTATGCACAAACAGTGTTGGTTAGTAAGCTGTAGAAGATCTCTCACGGAAGTGAGTAAAAATGATGTTCGTGGAGGCTAAGTCATAATGCGGAAAGAGGGCTATGCTATAACGACTGAAAAACGTAGGATCCAATATGTGTATACAATATGCTCAGAACTATGTTTAAAAACACAAACCTCACACGAGAGAAAAAAAATGGAAGGAAATATTCCAAAACATTAACAATGGCTGTTTGGGGGTAGTGAGATTCTGAGTAATTTATTTTTTCTACTTTTCCAAAATTTATTTAATAGAATATATTATTTTTATAATACACACAAAAAATAAATTTGGAAGAAGCTAAAACTATTTAAAATTTAGTTAGCTGTGCTTATATGTTTAAAATACTTTAAAATTATGAAATATTTCAAATGCAGAATAAATGTACATAAAATAATAAAATACATACCCATGTACCCACTAATCAAATTTAACAGATGTTAATATTTTTGCTGTATTTACATGAGATTTTTTCTTAAATAGAATAAAATATTCTGATACAACCAAAATCTCCATCTCATTTCTGCCATCCCTCTCTTCCCTAAGACTGATATAAATCCCTCCCATCTATGTTTTTATGTTTTTACTCTGTTTGGTGAATTTAAAAAATTTGTACAAATGGTATCACACTGTCCATATCTTTTTGCAACTTTTTTTTTAACTCAACATTATCTTTAAGATTTATTTATGTAGGGCCAACCCTGTGGCACACTCGGGAGAGTGCGGCGCTAGGAGCCCAGTGACGCTCCCGCCACGGGTTCGGATCCTATGTAGGACTGGCTGGTGCGCTCACCGGCTAAGCACGGTGCGGGCGACACCACACTAAGGGTTGCGATCCCCTTACCGGTCACGAAAAAAAAAAAAAGATTTATTTATGTATATTTATTTCCTTCATTTTAATTAATCCATTGCATGAACATTCCTCCTGTACGTGTTCATTTCTGAGTCCATGGACACGTATTACTTCACACCATGCATGAGCATTCTCATGCACATATGAACAGATCCCACATTCAGGGTGTACACTGCCAGGAAGAGGAATTCCAGCTTTGTGGAACATGCCTATCTCCAACTATAACAGAACTGACCATGGACCTCATTAGGGCTTCCTCAAGCCTGGTGGCTGGCCAAAACTGCCCATTTATTAACCCAAGCCCTGATCTTTTCATATAAACTTCTGTCCAGCTAAGC